GTATTTTAATAAAAGCCATTACTGATTTTTCTTTGGATGTTATGGAATGGCATGGATACTTTACAAAAGTTTTTCATACCTGTGGTTTTCTGTCTCAAAGAATGTCATTGATGGTACAGTCTCTGCTACTGCTTCTTCTACTGAAGTTAATAACAAATTTTGGTTTTATTAATGCACTGTGTATAACAAGTTTGTTTTTAATATAACTTTTTTAACTACACGATTGTGCAAGCAAGTAATAATAATATTTTTTATAGTTTAAATCTTATTCAAGCATTAAAAGATTTTGTCTCTAGTAAGAAATATTATTAATCAACACCTCCGAAAATGCTTTAAACAAGCCTAAAAATTGCATTTCAAATTATTTTAACTTGGTTATCACTGTTTTTTTACTAGACTATCTGATTACTGAGTTTAACACAATGTTTGATTGATTGATACAATTTTGAAATGTTATAAAGCACCTGTGTTTTAATTTCTTCTTTCTAATATTCAGTTTCTTCTAAAAACAATTGCAGAAATTCAATGTTTTGTTATACTAGTTGGGAAGACCAAATTAAATGTTTTAATGTCTTTTGTTTAAGCAAAGGCTTTATTAGGATTATTTATCATTTCTAAAGCAAAGGCTTTATTACTTGAATTTTACCTGTGGAAGTTTAGTTGAATTTCACTTAACTGCCTGAATTTTAAAAATGAACTTTAATAATACTGAAACATTACAAGCCTTTTCTTTATTGAGGTGCCTAAAAGGTTATAAGAGAATAGTAAGAAGACGTTGCAAAGTAAAATGGTAGATGAAGTCTAAATGGTTTAGTTTAGCTAATCTATAGTAAACAAGTTTTTAACAAGTTTGTTAAATATACTTATGAGTTGTGTTTTAAATAAAATTCAAATATGATAAAAGTATAATTTATCTAAGTTGTAATGTAATGTCGAAGCTGCTTTTTGTTAAACAGCTATTTTCATAGCCAGACATCTTTGTAAAAACATTTAGCATTGTACAGTTATTGCAATAAGTTTTTTGACTCTAAATATTTATTAAGTTTATTTATAATTAAAAGTTATTTATAAAATTATATAAAAAAATTTACACAGCAAAATCTTGGAAATTGTTTTCACAAATCTTGTAAAAAATTTTAACACCTCCCCCTCTCTTAAAAAAATAGGGAGGCGGAGGGGACATTTTTAACTTACCCAAAAAATTTCCTGTAAACGCCCCAGATTGTAAGTGTATTCTAAGTAAAATAAAGAACTTAAAAGTAGTCAGAGTTCTGGATAAGAACCAAGAGGTTCCAGGTTCAGCCTTTGCCGGTTCTAGCCTATTAAGCAACATTGGCAAAGAATGAGGTGTGAACTTCTTGGTTATCACGACGGTAAGGACTTCCTGGAGCTATCAACTAAAAAAATTGAATTAATGAACAAGAAATGTTTGAACTTGAAAAAAGTTATGGGCAGGAATAGCTGACTTACAAAATTGAATAAAAAAGAACAAAAACAGATTTGAATAAAAAAAGAGGTTCTAAATTTTTTATATAACCAAAAACACAACAGAAAGTTATTTCTAGGGTCAGAAGACAAGAAATATATAAATATATAACAGGAAGATAATCCATTTTCAAATCCTTTTTTTCCTAAATTTAAAAACTCTCACCATTTATCTCATCTTTTTTCACTTTTTCATTGGGGTTTTTTTTGTTTGTTTGTAAGTTTTACTTGAGTTTTTTATTTTTTAATCTTTTTTAATTTTAATTCTTTACTAGTTTGACAAAGTTTTGAGGGAATAGTAAAAAGGTTAAGAAGTAATAAAATCATTGATAATATTTGAGTCAGTATTATAGTATTCATGTTGTTTAGATTTCAGAGAATACAAAAAAGAGAAATCATCTAGAAAAGATACTGAATAACCGATGAAAATAAATTCGGAGTTGGATTATAGTGCGGAGACTAACGTTTATCTTTTGATTTAGATTTTGAAAGATTTCTATGAAGTCTAATAGTAATAAATATGTAGAGCTCCCGAGAGTTTTTTTTTGTTGTTCTGTGTTTGTGTAAATCAAAAGACTTTTTCTAATTGTAATAGTGTTATTTCTCCCTATGCTTTTACAAATATTACTGGTTCAATTCTTTATAGTTCTAAGCACAGTCAACCTTAGGTAATTGGAGGTCTTAGACAAAATGATTTGGTCTAAACAAAAAAAATTAAAAATTAACTACTAGCCAAGCGCAAAAAGGTGAATCAAGAAAAAAAGGCCCAAGAAGGGTTGCTAGGCGGAGGCACATCTTCCGCTTTGTTGAAGGCAAACAATTCTAGAAATTGAACCAAAAAAAGATTTCGCAATGCCTCCAAAAATTAATTTGGTACATAAAATGATATCGGAGTTCTTTTTTTTCTACACTACAAATACAATTTTTCATGTTTGCTCCTTCGTTTTTCATGTTTGCTCCTTGAGCTCTGCAGTTCTGCAAACTTAAATTCAGATCTTCAAGCTTTTGTAAGCTTGCTTCAACGAATCCTGAACCAGTACTTCCATCGTTAGATAGGAATCTTACAAAGTATTCATTGATCTCTACTGGTCTACTCCCATATGTTGTAAATTTGCGATGTCATAGTCATTATTTATTTTGTTATTTTTTTTAAGGCAACGTTACCAATCAGATTAATTACGTCATTTTAAATTGTTTTTCTCAAGAAATGATAATGAACTTTTTTTATAAGCCATAAATGATCGTTTAAGTATGAATCGTACTTTTCTAACAATTCAAAAACAAGAATTTTTATGGTTCGAATAAATTTGCCAACAAGGATCAGAGGCATTAACATTATGTAACTTTCAAAAAAAAATCTCTCAGAGAAATGCCGCTTTTCAGAACTCTCATTTTGCGGATACATTGTTCTTGAATCACAAAACAGTTCTTTTTCGACCTAGTAAACACTTCCTTTATCGCTAATTGAAGATGACCAAACTAACTCATTACAGAAAAACGTAAATATAATCTCTCTATCACAGATAAAAATGTGTGAAACCAACACAAGGACTGTTTTGTTTTAAAAAAGTTTTCAAAACAAATTATTATATCTCTTCAGCATTTAAGGAAATAAATTAAATAAATACTTTGTCGCTAAACAATTTTTTTCGTTATTTTTCGAACGCTTATAGAAGTTTCAAGCATTTTCAAAATTCTGACTCTCCTATTTTTTTTATTTTTTTTATTTGCATTCACTCCCAACAAGGCTGCAAGCAACCACTATTAAGTTGGAAACTAGGAAAAAAAAAGAACAGAGTTATAGAGCAAGGAAACGGTTGACAGAAGACTTGAAAAGTTGAAGGTTGTATGAGTCAGGAAAACATGAAGATGGGAGAGAGTTCCAAAGGATTGAAGTGCGGGGAAAAAAACTAGATGAATAAAAGTTTTTAGAGCATGCAGGGACAGATACAGTAAACGAATGAGACTTAGCTGAATGACGAGTAAAGAGAGAATGAATTTTAGTTGATGGAACTAGAGATGATAACTCCTTTGAGCAGTGACCATGATAGTATTTGTAGAAAAGAGAAAGAGATGCAACTTTACGATGATGGGAAAGAGGTTCAAGCTTAGCAGATAGTCCAGGTCCAACAACATTTACAATGCGTTTTTGGACCTTGTCAAGAAGAGAAAGTGAATCGTTAGAAGAACCAGCCCAAATATGACAACAGTATTCCATACAGGGACGAATAAGAGATTTGTAGAGGTAGAGAATGTAATCAGATGTAAGGAAATGGCGAGCACGATAAAGAGAAGCAACCTTAGCAGAAGCTAATTTAGCAATCGATTGTATATATGGTTTCCATGAAAGGTCAGTAGTAAGCGATAATCCAAGAAGACGTAAAGAGGAGGACTCAGTAAGAGGATTGCCATTCATTAATATAGGAATGTCGACCATATTACGGTAGTTGTTTGCAGTAAGCAATTGGGTTTTTTTAGAGTTGAAATTTACAAGCCACTGTGAACCCCAATCTATTACTGAAGTGAGATCAGATTCAAGATCAGCTGCTTGTTCTAGGCGATCGAAAAGAGAAGACTTTTTGTCAAGACAGGAGTATAAAGTTGAGTCATCAGCAAAAAGAGCTACTTTAGATGAAAGGTTGTCAGGAAGATCGTTTATGTAGATAAGAAACAAAACAGGGCCCAGGATGGAACCTTGGGGATGCCCAGAAGTTACTGGAAATAAAGAAGAGTGTTGGCCTTCAAGGATGACTTTAATAAACCGGTTAGGAAGAAATGATTTGATAATCTCAAGAACTTTCCCAGAAACGCCATATGAAGCAAGCTTATGGAGAAGACCAGCATGCCAAACTTTGTCGAAAGCTTTAGATATGTCGAGAGCAATAGCCCTAGCCTCACCGCCTCCATCTAATGCACGATAAAATCTTTCAGTTACAGCAGTTAGCAAGTCGGCCATAGAGCGAGAGGATCGAAAACCGTATTGATTGTCTGACAGCAGTTTATTTGACTCAAGATGAGATGTGAGGAATTTGTTGATCAAAGACTCAAAGACCTTGCTAATAACAGAAAGAAGACTGATCGGACGATAATTGGAGGGGTCAGAATTTTCTCCAGAGTTTTTGAATATTGGAACCACAGATGCCATTTTCCAACAAGCAGGAAAACAAGACTCAGTCAAACACTTGTTAAATAGTTTAGAGAGAATTGAAGAAAGTTCTGGAGAACAATTCTGCAAGACTGTGACAGGAATGTTGTCTGGACCACAAGCTGTAGACGAGTTTAATTGAGATATGACTTTAGCAACAGAAGCCGGAGTGATTTGAATGTCTAACAATGGGTTTTTATTAAAACAACATGCTTATTAGATTTTAGAATATTTCTGACCATCCTGTTTATTACAAATCCCCTCCACCATATTAACATAATAACAAACTAATTTGTCTCTAAGTATTGCTTATTGCGCTTCAAAATATGAAGATTTTTGATCTTTTTTTTAGAAAAATTACAATAAAAAGGAAGACATTTTTTATAATTAAACTATTAAATCAAAATACTATAAATAATAAATGTTAAAACTTTAACATTAAACGGTTGTATAAATTTTTCGTGTTGAGATACAATTTCGTTAAATAGATAATAAAGATGTTTGAAGAACGTCACTTTTTCAATTTGTGTAATTTGGGGTTGCTCAAAAACAAAATTTTATAAAGTTTTGAACAAAATAACTATACAATGAACACTTCAGTAACTATTAAGCCTTAGTTTTCTTTTTTCTTTTTTTTCTTCTTCTTTTTCACAGCTGGTGTACTTTTTTTCAAAGCGGGTGCACATTTTGAACAAAACCACTGTGCATCATCAGCAGGAGCAACAGTTATGTTCACACATGACCTAAATAAAGATTTTTTTTTTTTTTAATATAAACAAAATTTGGTACAAATTTTTGGAAAAAATGTTATTAGTAATTTATCTTAAAAATATTACTTTTTAAAAACAATACTTCTAAACAATATCAATGAAGGGTTAGTGGAAAAATACTCATGCATGATTCGTTCTTAATTGCTTAAAAAATTATTCTTTTTATTCTTTGAAAACTTGGCGCCTTCGAAGACTTGGCGCTTGAGTGAAAATCACTTATTATACCCGCCTTCCGCCGGGCTTCTCTCTCTATATTATATATATATATATATATATATATATATATATATATATATATATATATATATATATATATATATATATATATATATATATATATATATATATATATATATATATATATATATATATATATATATATATATATATATATATATATATATATATATATATATATTTCAAATAAAAAACAAACAGCAGAAATTTTTTTATTAAGCGTTATGATTTTAGTTAAGTTTACTCAATTAGATCTATGTAATAAACATTTTTTGTTTTTTGTTAGTGTTGTATTTCTTTAAATATATTATCGCTGTTTTTTATCAGTTTTGTTGTTGTTATCTTTGTTGGTGTAGTTATATATTTTTTTATTATTTTTATTTATATTTTCAATTTTTGTTTTTTTTTCCTTTCAAGCTTTCCTTTCAAATTACTGTTATTGTAGTTGTTATTATTATCATTCATTAACTCGATATCACTTCGTTAATATAAAAATATAAACTTTTTTCTCTCTCGATTTTGAACAGTTTTATAACCTTTGTTTAAATTTTATTTTCTTCTTTTTTCTAGATCTATGTAATAAACATTTTTTGTTTTTTGATAGTGTTGTATTTCTTTAAATATATAACCGCTGTTTTTTATCAGTTTTGTTGTTGTTATTTTTGTTGGTGTAGTTATATATTTTCTTATTAATGCTATTTATATTTTCAATTTTTGTTTTTTTTCCTTTCAAGTTACTTCCTTTTTTTTCCTTTCAAATTACTGTTATTGTAGTTGTTATTATTATCATTCATTAACTCGATATCACTCCATTAATATAAAAATATAAACTTTTTTCTCTCTTGACTTTGAACAGTTTTATAACCTTTGTTTAAATTTTATTTTCTTCTTTTTTCTATAATTAAATTACTGTTCTGTACTGTTGTATATATTTTTTTTAAATGAGAAAATATTATTATTACTATTATTATTTTTTTATTATAATAATAATTTTTATTATAATAACTAATATAATTAAATACTTAAAAAACTAATTTTAATGTATTTACTTTACTGAATATGAAGCACAAAACGTTTATTACATCTGTTCCATTTTTAAGTTTATTTAATTAAATCCTATCTACAAGAAAATAATAATGTAAACAACATCAGCTATTTATATACTATTTATTATAAATATTAATTTAAATCTGATAGTCTTAGCTATTCAGACTAAAATATAAAAAATTGTCTTGCATTTTAAAGTATCATTAGGAATATTCTGACAGTTCCTATGAAGAGTTATTAAAGCTAAATAGCATTCATAGCAACATTTCTAAATCTAAGCTTGCAGCAATCCTTACTATTAAGTCAGCTAAACTCTTCTAGAAAAAATTTGATTTTACTAATAAGCAATGTAAAGCTTAATGACAAACAAAGATTGCCTTCAAAATCTGAAATCAAAAAAAGGAAAAAGGGGGGGGGGATGGGAATTTTAGTCCAGATCTAATAAACAAGGAGTTTTTAATAAGGCGGAGGGGGGAGGAGGGGAGGCTATTAGGGATTCATATCGGTCAGTCCATGAAAACTTTTGATCTAACGCCATGTTACAATATAAGTATTTTTTATAAAAAATTTTAATTTATAAATCCACTAATATTTTTTACAAAAAACACAAAACTATTTAATTCTAATTCTTGCGGTCAAATGCGCATTTTCTAACATAATTTAATAGGATTTAATATTTTTTATCCAGATTTACTAGGTCGACGATTTTTCAAGTCTGTTTGCACTACTAATTTTTGTTTTTATCGGTGATTGAAAATATTATTCTCTAATTTATTAAGATTAAAATTAATAAACGAGGGAGGGGGGGGGGCGTAATAAGCTTAGGGTAAGTGGGATAATTTTCCAAAAATTAATAAATGCCACCTCCCCTCCCCCTTTATTAAGGTTTCGTGAGAAATGGCAATCAAAATAATTACAGAATAAAAAAAAAGGTTGAATCAGATTTTTGACAGTTCAATGGAAAACTTTCGAAACAAATCTGGACAAAAGTTTAGTGAGTGGTTTTCAGAATTGTCAAAGCATTGTTGCCCAGGATTTTAATACAACTGCTTGTAATAAAAGAGAATGGACCTGCAACTCTTAATAAAAGAGTTAAGAATGGAGCTGCAACTCTTAATAAAAGAGTTAAGAATGGAGCTGCAACTCTTTTAAAGCGATGCTCTTAAAAAGAAAATTCTTTTTTGACAAAAATTATATTTTAGAACTGATCCTGGAAATATTTTTAAACTCTTTAAAAATTATTTAGTACTTTATTTAGTAAATTATTAAGAAGATTAAAGAGGTTAAATTTGAAGACTTAGATTTGAAGGCCAAATACTTGATGGAAAAGATAAAATATTAATTACAGGCATAAAACTATGAAACACATGTCTGCATCTATACTAGCCTATTAGATAAAGAAAGGGTGAAAGAAAGGGTGAAAGAAAGGGTGAAAGAAAGGGTGAAAGGTCATATATACTCTTCTTATTCATAAAATCTTTGCCAAGGAAAACTTCTACATTTACCAAATGCACTTTACATTTTTCTAAGAGTACTTTTATTAAAACGCTCTAGCATTTACTCAACCAAGAGCGCTAGAGAAGTGCGCTAGGGAAGAGCGCTAGAGAAGAGCACTAGAGAAGAGCGCTTGAGAAGAGCTTTAGGGAAGAGCGCTAGAGAAGAGCGTTAAGGCAGAGAAGTATTATTAAGTTTACATCTTCTACCCTCTGCATAAACAAGCGTTATGTTACCAATAGCATTATATGTTCATATAGCAGTGATTATGATTTTTATCATAACCTTAAATATCATGAACTATATAAAATACTAGGATCTGTATAAAATATCATAAATTAAATATAGGAATATCAGTAACTACATGAAATATCAGGAGCTGTTTAAAATATCAGTAAGTATATAAAATATTAGCACTGAATTAAGTATTCAAAGTAAAACACTTTTTTTCTTTCTCCTTTTTTTTTTTTTTTTAAAAAAAAAAAGATATATAGAGATACAAAAAGATATACATAACAGGATATACATTTGCGGTATATCCTGTTGTTTTATATTAAAAATAGTACTAAAAATCATTACCAATGGTACCATCCATCACAAGAGTCGCATCCTATCATTGGACTTCCATCATCAGGACGATCACAGCCAGGACAATAATAAAGATCTGCTGACATAGAAGACTAAAAAAAAATAATGTATTTTTTTTAAAATTATATTTCACTATATTATAATATTAAATTACTATATTATAATATTAAATTACTATATTATATTATTAAATACTCCAAAGAAACATATTTAAAAAAAAAACTATAAATTCTATAAAAATTTAACTAATTGAAATTTTATCAGTAGGATTTACTTGCCAATTTATTGGTTTTAGCAAAACTAAATCAACTAAATTAGCGTTTAATCAAATCAAATCAAATATATTTTGAAATAAGTTAAAACATTTCAAGGAAATTTACAATAGTACAAGTACTAATATAAAGTAAATACCTCAATATACAACGTAACGTTATAGATGAAAATAGTTATAATAAATGATAAATAATAATAATAATAACAATAATAATAATAATAGTAATAATAACAATAATAATAATAATAATTGTAATAACAACAATAATAACAATAACAGCAACAATAATAACAATAATAATAATAACAATAATAATAATAACAATAATAGTAATAATAACAATAATAATAATAACAATAATAATAGTAACAAAATAATAATAATTATAATAAAAAGAGAATTTTATAAATAAAGACAATAACAACAGCAACAAAATAGTAAATAATGACAGCAGCAACAAAGATTTAGTACGAAGTAGATAATAATTGAATAAAAAGAGATAAATAGATAGATAAAAAAAAGAATGCCAAAATATTGGTATTAATATTAACAATATTAGAATGCAAAAATTAATAAAGTTTAAAAATGGCAGATAGAAAACCAGAGGAATTAAAATGGTAGATAGAAAACCAGAGGAATTAAAAATATTAAAGTATTCATATACTGCTTAAAATATTTACAGATAAAAAAATGTAATCATGTAGTCATTTTTAAAATATTAAACCCTAAATTAAATAATAAAACAGTTTTTAAAAACATGTTATATGATTAATTTGGGTTTTATTTTCAAGTTCAATGTTTCCCAAAATAAACCTGCAATATACAAGAAAAAGGTTGTGCAAGTATTTAAAATTAAGGAAACAATATATTAGGCTTTCAGGCACACAATATCAACAACAACAACCAAAACAATACATTAGGCTTTCAGGCACACAGTATCAGCAACAACAACCAAAAAAATAGTCCTTTTAAACACAAATATAAAAAAATTTCTTTACAAGAAGTAAATGATTTTAAACATGCTTTTTTTGTTTCTGAAAAATGTTTTTTTTTTTTTTTATATATTAAAGAAAATTATGAAATTTTTAAACTAACTTATAATAATATATTCATCCATTAAAATATGCATTAATTTCAAAAAATATATAAAAACTTATCAAAAAAAAAAAGAAAGAAAATAACTGATGTGTTTGTTATTGTTTCTGCATAGAAGCCAGCAGCTGGTTTAGTTTCTTTTTGTTTCTTGGTCTTTTTAGCTGGAGGAACTAAAACCACGGGTGATACAACTTCTGACTTGATAACCCTAATTGTAAAGTAATAAATCAAGATGTTGCAAAAATTTAAAACATAATACTGACCCCTTAAATAAAAAAACACTCAAAACATTCTGACAACTTAAAAAAACATTTTAAAATAACAAGGGTTGAATTTTGCAATTGAGAATAACAAATTGCAATTGTCCGAATGAAATAAGTTATCTTGAAATTTATCAAAGAAATTCTTAGACTTTAAATATAAGTAATGAATAAATCTGCAAATTGCGAATGAGATTTAGGTGTTCTCGTAGACTCAAACTTTTTTTTTTTGCAAAACACACAACTATTGAAGTCAAATAAGCAACACAAATAATAGCTCTAAAAAAATGTACATTTTCATTTTATTTAGATTTTATTCATTTAAAATTTTTTTTTTCAGTTTAGTCCACTTTCGTTTAGAGTATTGTGAATCAATTTGTAACTCATGGTTTCTTAAAGACAAACAATAAATAAAAGACATATTAAGAAGAGCCAAATGAATTAAATGATCTTTTGTACAAACAAATATTGTTGGCAACGACAAGCATAAAATGCAGACTAGTTAGTGGAGATAATTTGTGGAGAATAATGTCTTAAAAATTATGCAGTTACTTTCATTTAAAACTTTTTAAATGGAAGTAACTACATCATCTATAAAAGAGTTTAAAATGCTAATTGCCATCTTAAATCCAATCATCTTAAAAACAGAGGAAAAATGGGAAGAAATGTGGATTAGTCATAAGATGTCATCTTAATGACATCTTATGACTAATCCACATTTCTTCTCATTTTTCTTTTTCTTTTTAGTTTATATAAACTCTAATCTTGTTAATTTTATACAACCAGGTTAACAGATATTCATCCCTATACAATTAATTCATTGTAAACCTTAATAATAATAATAATAATAATAATAATAATAATAATAATAATAATAATATTAATAATAATAATATTAACTTTTCTGTATTTTTGTAAAATACAGAAAAAACTTTTAGAAAATTGTTTTTTTTATAAAATTAAATTATTTATGAGAAATCCTTTTTTTTTCTTTTTTTTATATTTATTTCAAAAAAGAGTTAGTTTTGGTTGTTGTTTTTTTTTTAATTACAAAAATGGTTAATTTCAAAAACCCATAAAACTTATAAGGGTTTGGAATCTGCAAAAATAATTTAAAAAAAAATGACTAAAACATGATTTATTGAATAAAGAAAAATTAGAAAAATTAAAAGAAAGAATTAAAAATACTTTATTGTTAAAAATTTAATGTTGTAAAAATACAAAAATATGCATTAAAGAACTAGACTGAGCTGTCAAGCCCAAGTGAAATAAGGAAAAATTTAGGAAAAGAGAAAGGATAAAATATATATTGTTCAGAACAAAAACAAAGATAATAATAATAATTTAGACACGGCACATGTAAAAGAAATGTAATAAAAACAAAACAGGACACATAAGTAACCATAAATCTACAGTAAATACAAATGTTTAACATACTTAAAATAAAAATACATGTATAGATATATCAATATTTAAAATGAATAAATATAAATTAATAGGAGGTATAACATAAAGAAATAACATTATTGCTTTTGTATAGTCATAATTTATGAATAAACTTATCCTCAAAATCGCCTTTATTATTACCGGAGTTTCGAAGAGGCTCAGCACCAATACCTAGTTTATCCTGTCAGATAAACATCATCGCTATTTATGCTTTACCTCGGTTATGTTTTTAAAAGAAAAAGAAAAATGAGAAGAAATGTGGATTAGTCATAAGTTGTCATTCGTTTTTAAGATGATTGGATTTAAGTTGGCAATTAGCATCTTAAACTCTTTTATAGATGATGTAGTTATTTCCATTTAAAAAGTTTTAAACAAAAGTAACTGCATAATATTTAAGACATTAATCTCCACAAATTATCTCCACAAAAGATCATTTAATTTATTTGGCTCTTTTTAATATGTCTTTTATTTATTGTTTGTCTTTAAGAAACCACAAGTTACAAATTTTCATTTAGAGTATTGTGAATAATACTTTAAATGAAGGCAGACTAGAGCTGAAAAAATTTTGAGAAAAATTTAACCACATAAAATGACATTTTTTTTAATTTTAAAATGACAGGTAACCATAGGGAGTTCTGTTTATATCAAATTTTAAAAATAAGAGAAACTTTTTTTTGGGAAGAATTATATAAGGATTTCCAATAATTATTTTATAAGGATTCCCAATAATTATTTAAAAGGATTCCCAATAACTATTTTAAAATTGCCCAAAAGTACTAGAAAAGTTATTTTAAAAAAAGATTTTAAACAAGTTCATTGTTTTGTATGTTGAATTTTAATAAAACTTTATGTTTAATTTGTAGAAAAAAAGTCCATATTTAATTTTTGGAAAAAAATTCATTTCAATTTTAGAAAAAAACTTTATATTTTATTTTTATAAAAAAACTAAATATTTAATTTTAAAAAATTATAAAATATTTTATAGTTGAATAAGATGAAAAAATCTAATAAATAGCCTAAAAATTTAAAATCAAACAGTGTTGCCTGAAAATATAATAAACCTTGAAATAGGTACAAGGCGTCCTGTTTTTTATTCCTGGCCTAGGAATAAAAAACAGGACGCCTTGTTTTTTAATCTAGGTGGATCATTACATAGCCAATTTTTTGTGTATATTGTGGGTTTCTTTGCATTTTCTTACACCTAACATTTTATTCTCCTTAATATTGGTACACTCAAACATGCTTTAAAATCTTCAAAGATTTTGTTAAATCATTAGTTGTTATAAATGACCCTGCTGAATGAGCAATGTGAAATATGCAGCAGTCTGTAAAAAGAACAAAGAAGAAAAAAATCAGAACAGATTAACAGATAAAAAGGTCAGGAAAAAAGTCTTTAAATTTGTATGTAAAAAAGGTCAATTAACTTTCTGCAATGGCAAAAAAAAAAAGCGAAAATTATGAAATCAAGTTTATTTATTACAAGAATAAATTAGAAATTCAATTATTGTTTTTTGACTTCACTAATAAAGAAAAAAATCTTAAAAAGTTTAATAATATTGTTTAAATATGCAATTTATCTTAAGCAAAACAATTCATTTTTTCAGGTTTTTAACACTTTTTCCAAAAAAAATTTAAAAAATTGCAAAAACACAATTCTGCTTTAACTATCGTGTTTATTTTAAAATATCAAAATCTGTATTATATTAAAACTTTTCAAAAATATCTGTATCATATTAAAACTTTTCAAAAATATTATCACTTTCCCCAAGGTAATGTCTAAATGTGAAAATTTGAATATCAATACATTTTCTAATCAAAAAGTGGTCCTCATCAAACCTACCTTGAAACTTAATTTTGTACAAGAACACACTTTTTTCTAAGCTTAAATTTTTTTTTTCAAAAATATAAGAATCTCATGGTACCCCAATGGTGGATCCAGACCATCTAGCAAGTGTAGTTTGAGCATAAACATTTTTATTCATTTTTTAAATATTTTTTAAAACTAAATTGATCCATCCAGGCTAATATTGTTAAGTCATTTTTAACATTGATGATTATCAACAGGTATGAAACTCAGAGTTCCATAAAAAGTGGCTTTTATTTATCTTATTTTTCATTTATTTATCTTATTTTTTTATTTATCTTAGTCCTTGTTAAACTAAAGCAAACAGCTAAGCATGGGAAAAATATAATAATATTTGGTGTCCCTGAACTAGTTAATGTAGTAGGTGTCACTGCCAGCAGTGTTATCCTGCATCACAGAGGTCCTAAAAGTTATAGGCCTCACTAATTATGATGTTAGTTTCTTCAAGTGCCTTCATATTAATAACCGTTATGCATTCACTGTGGTATCCGCAAAGGAGCAATGGTTAAGATGAACGCTGTCCTTACTCTTTGCTCCATACCAACCAATTAGCTCAAGCATCAAAACCACTTGCTTACCAAACATCTACATGACTAATATCACTCACTCTGTAACAAAATCAAAATTTTTAATCAACTTCTTACAGATTTTAAGATTAAGATTGCCTGTCTAAATGAAACTTGGCTAAACCCTAGTGGTAAGTAAACTATTCTTTCCTAAATCAATAATAATTACATTTACATAAGCACTGAATGTCAGGATCATATAGGTGGTGGTACTATTATATTCATAAACAAAAAATTTTCATATAGAATAAAACAAATAAAATTAATAACCAAATAGGAGTCTTGGTGTCTAAACAAGAAATTGAACTAACAATTGGTCATGTATACCCAAAATACTTCCCCTAGGATACTTCTCCTGTCTAGTAATATGTGAATATATCCTATTTGTTTATTTGAAATTCAACGATGTTTTTTGCAATAAAGTTGTAAATAGAAGTTAGATTGAAAGTTTGAAACAAAGAAAGAAAACAAAAATCTAATTTTTAAAAATTTATTATTTCCCTTTTTAAATGCTTTACATTTACACAAATACCTTATTCTGTAGCATTTGATTGGATGATTTTTTATAATTTTTTATTGGATAATTTTTAAATTCTTGTACCTATTTTTGGACCATCAGCAACAATTCAAGAATTGCTTAATTTGAAATTTTTAGAGCATAGTTTTTTAAATTAAGTTCACTTTTATTTCAATTATAATTTATATATAATAATTATTATTTCAATCAAATATTTATAACACCTGCATAAAGATTGTTTAGTAATAAGTGATTTAATTTCTGATTGTGCTAGTCATATTTACTAATATGATTACAGTAATTTCTTGTTGTTTTACTGTGTGTTTTTAAATTAACATATCAACAAATCAACAGTTGTTTTACTGTGTGTTTTTAAATTAACATATCAACAAATCAACAGTTGTTTTACTGTGTGTTTTTAAATTAACATATCAACAAATCAACAGTTGTTTTACTGTGTGTTTTTAAATTAACATATCAACAAATCATCAGTTGTTTTACTGTGTGTTTTTAAATTAACATATCAACAGTTAATTCAATCCTTGCATAACAATCAACTTCAATTTAAAAAAAAAAGTTAAAATATAAAAGTTAAAATATAAAATTAAAAAAAAAAAAAATTTAATAAAAAAATTTATTGACTTTAAATAGAATGAGTCACTTAGCTTTAAAACAAAAAATTTTTAAAGTACTCACAACTTAGAGGGCGTTGATTCGGATATCATTTCAGGCGCCATTTTTAATGTTAACTTAGGTATTGGTATAAATGTCTCTTTTTTATCATCATGCTTTCGTTTTTTTTCACGTCGGTGCTCTGACTAAATAAATAAATTCATAAAAATTTTATAAAATCAGAATTTTTTTGAAAGACTTTTCAAAAAAAAAAATAACTTTAAAATAACTGTTTAATTTTACGATTTTTGTGATTTGTATTTTGAATCAAAATAATATAAAGCATATTTGGTGTAAATTTCCACTTGAAATTTGGTGAAAATTTCTGCTTGAAATTTGGTGAAAATTTCTGCTTTAAAAAAGTTTGTAAAAGTTATGACTTAAAAACTAAAAAAAAGTATTTCTAAACTTTTGCACTGTATCATGCAAAAAATAAAATTAATATAATAGCAAAGTTATGTCAGAAACAAAATTAATACAATATTACAAGTTGTCATGACAACAATAAAATTTATATGTTAATAACTGATATGAAAAAAAATCTTATGGATCAAAACAAATAGTTATGTATATTTTATATATATAACTATATTATATTATATAGTATATATATAATATTTTATCATTGACAAAACTAACTTAAGTGACAATAACTTAATTAAAAAAAAAGATGATTGCCACAAATTGATAAAAATTAATTTATAAAAATTAGTTTATATTATTAAGTCTGGGAGTGCCTATTTTTAACCATAGTAAGTTACCCTTAGAAGTCCATTTTTTTCGCATATATATATATATATATATATAAGATTTTTAAAAACCATTTTTTAATAATAAACATATCTAAGCCGGCAAAGTATCCTATAATGATTCCAAAAAAAAAAATTTCTTCCTAAAAAGTAATCCTATTCTAGATAGAATCCTATTCTAGGAATAGTCATCTGATTGATTCTGATTAAGATATTCTAGGAATTGAGAGCAAAGCATTTTTTAAAAAGAGTTAGTGTTTGATTATTATCTTAGCAAAAAATTAACAGTAATAAAGATGTCCTTGATGGACAATTTGAACTTTTACCAAATATTAAATTTCTCCAAAAATCAGTAGAAAAACAAAAAAACAAAAATTATGTTTTACTGGTAAATATTAAAATTGATAAAAAAATAAAAAAATTTTTTACAGTTTTATTTTGTTTCTAAATAAAATCTTTTTAAGATTTAAATTTTATATTTTATTGATAATTTTTTAATTGATAAAAAATGAGCTTTGAGAAAACAAACTGTATCAAGTAAGTTGTCATTTATTCTGGATCGAATCAATTAAATCGCCATTCATTCTAAATCAAATTTTAGTCATAAATAACCCTGTTGCAGAAAAGGCTTGCCAGAGTCAATACTTAGAGGGATATTTTCTGAGCCATGCACTTCTTGAATAAATTTTAAATTGACTGGATTTGTTGGGAAAAGTCTACACAGGAATTATTTGGAAGTCTTTTGAAGTACAGACTCCAAAGGTTTTTTGAAAAATTTATGTTCTTAAATGTCAGATAAATTCTGGATCGGAAAATACAAGCTTACAAGATTCTTTTTAAAACGTTTCAAAATTACACTCTTAATTGCAATGCAAAGAGTTGAATCTCATTGTTTCAGTCTGTTTACAAGACACTTGAAAATTGAAGAAACATTTCTTACAGCAGTAAGAAAAGTTGCATTCAAAGGGCTTCTGCAGTTAATTTGACTGGTTTAAGAACAGCAACAATGTTATATAAAATCTTTACTTCATTATTGCTGCAAACCAAATGCAGAAATTCATCTTTAAATACTTTTCTGATTAAATCTTTAACTTTGAGAAGATTCAATCAAAATGATTGATGATAGACTTGTTGGTGATATAACTTAAATCATCCACAACACACTGTTTTACCTTGTTCTACAGTCAATGGTAAGCAAAAACTCTTTTTTGACTAGAGATTTTTTTCTAAATAATTTGATAATATTCTGACTTTTGTAATAAAAGATTGCAAGTGCACTTTTACTTTTGAATACTTTCTTCCATTTCAGTACTTCAGTATTGTTACTTTCAATAAGCTGTTATCAATTTTTGGGAAGGATTCTTGTAAAGCATTCTTGTATATATGAACTGCCAAATGCATTCCTTGGGTGTAACACATTTGATGCTCAGTTGGAACCAGTTTTCCAAACTTAATTATCATGGAAACTCCATCCATAACTGAGTAGACAATGCTGTAGCCAATGTTTAATCCAAATTCAGCCACTTTTCTGTGAAAACTGCTGCATTTTTTCTGCTAGCAGAGTTTGAAAAATTTGAATCTAGCCCAGATTCTAGTATGTGTGTTTTTGATGAATATTAATATTCACACACCATTGATTTGATGATCAAAGAAGTATACTCATTAAAGTGTAAGGTCATTTTTCACACCAACTGCTGTTATTCTTGAAATAACTTCAACAGGTTGATTTGTAAAAAATGTTGAAATCTTAGACTTTTTTGATTCTGTTGCAGCTTTTGTTGCCAACTTTTCCTGTGTTTCTTTTTTGATTCCATGTTTTTTATCTAGGTGATACCATTTGCGGAACTTGATTATTAACTGATTCACATATTTTAGAAGTAAATATTTTTCCTCTGATTAATGTGCAGTGTTTCCAAACGCCTGACATTTTGACGCAAATTAAATTGATTTTTTTTCAGTCAAAAGATAAATATATTACAAAAAAACAATGTCTTTTTTAAAACCTTTTAAAATATTTTAAAACATTTTTGAGCATAATAATTTAACATCTTCATTTTTTAGATTTTTGTTAGAGTTTTTCATTTTTTAGATTTTGTTTGAGAACAAATAAATGAGTTCTGAAGCTTTTTTTGTTAATAAGTGGAAAAAATTTATCTGATTTCATAAGCCTTTTATATATCTTGCGCAAAAAATAAATTTTGGAAATATATAGGGGAGAGTGGGGCACCATAACACATGGGGCACCATGAAACAAAGCAATTACACAGCAATAAAAAAGTTTTGTAAAAAAACTGTAAGTCAAATCTAAGAAGATCTGTAAGAAAAATCTAAAAGTCGTAATCAGTTACTACTAGATGTATTGTTTAACGTATAATTCAAATCAGAACATTTCAATAATATTGGAAAAGGTTCAAATTTGTGTTTTTTCCATTGCAAAGTAATTTTTAAATTTTTGGAGTTTTACAGAGTTTTATTTACTGTATTCTTCGGAAAGTGCTTCTATTTTGTAAACTATATTTCATGAGCTCTTCAGTCATTTAATAAAATAATTTTTTGAAAAAAAAAAAAAACAGTCACCTTATTCTATCAGAATGTATGGGGTATCATGAAACAGTTTTAGTGGGGCACCATTAAACTAAATAAATTTACTGTTTTGTAAATTCCCGACAGGAAATATCGACTTCTATATTTTAATCTTTCACCTAACTTGGTAACAAATTTGGTGGACCATTAAATAAAGTTTATGTAATAAAAATAAATGTTATGTTATTCAGTATTTATGCATGTAGTATGATAATGTACTTATATAGTAATAAAATTAATTTTGTCTCATAAAAATAAGTTACACAAGTTTATATAAACATAAGTTTGCTTTATTAAGATGTTTATGAACACTTTTTTGTTGAAGGATTAACATAAACTAAACTAAAGCTCAGTGTGGTATCAAATCACAATATGACCATGAATTGAATTTTTATACATTGTAAAGCCTCTTTGTTATTGAAAAACTAGTAAACGAACCTTCTAGAGTAGTTCAATGGAGGTAGCTGTTGATTTAGTTTTAACAGGAGGGTGTTCATTTAACATTTAACAGGAGGGTGTTAATCAAATACTGTAGAAAAAATGAATATTAATCACAACACCCTTAAGGTAATTTATGCTTATGTATTCTGCACCAATAAGTATTTGTCCTACTTAGTAAATGAAACTTGTATAAGTTTGTGACTAAAAACAAATGACTGATTCCATTGTTACGCAAGTTACTTTTGAACAATAGTTAAACTCATAAACCGGTGGTTCATACTTCAGCATAATGCTTTGTGAAATGGCAATTTATCGCAAAATATTATTTAAACCGTACAACAAAAAAAATTCAAAAACTTATTTTAAAAAGTTTAACATTTTTTATCTCAAACTATAAATCAAAAATCGTTAAGTGCGTTATTTGCACACATCTAAAATTTTAACAAGTAAATTTTGACAAGTCTTATCTGTGAATTGGTTGCATATTGAAAAACCGAAATGTGCAATTTGTTATTAAAGATGCTTAACAAAAACATAAAGTGGATTTGGGGAAAAGATTTTAATAGTGGATTAAATTAACAATTGGTCATTGTTACGTGTGTTACCAGTCTTGTTACGTGTGTTACCAGTCTTGTTACGTGCGTTACCGCGTGCAAAACAATAGATAAAAGCAATCATTTCACAACTATAATAGCAAAAGTGCAGTTATTACAAATGCAAGCATGCGAAATGAGTAGTTAAAGAGTTTAGACGTTCATGGTGATAAAAATTAAAATGTCTGTGGAGTGAAACACCATATATGTTTGGGTTTTTGAACCAGCAAGTGACAGGATATTAACTTTTCTAAGAACTTGACTTTTATCATAAAGCATCGCATCAAGTTTAATTGGCCAAACCCATGAATTCCCAAACAAATGTTTCTCAACTGCGGATACTAAAACTTGATTTGACAAAACTTCTTTTACTTGTCCAGGAAATTCTGATGCATTGTAATTAACGACACACCAATCAACCAGGTAAAGTGCCAAAATTGAACTGTGACCATTTTCATCTATTTGACATAAGTAATCTGAAGATAAAATGGTGCACTTTATTTTGTCCAAAGCTGTTTTTGGCAGCATGATTTCGCTGCGTTGATTTTAACACAATAAATTGTTTTATGCCTTCAACATCTTTTACATTACACCATGGGTTGAATTCGCTGGTTAACTTATTAATATCTTTTTGCTGAACATGAAAAATTATTGTTTTAGGCATTAACATGGTTGCCAATTCAGCAAAACCTTTAGATAATTGAACAATGGTGTTAGCTCCCTTTGACATAATTTTTTAACGTACGAGATGTTTTGCTTTCCCACCATTTGTGTTAATTACCTCCTTTCCATGGGAAGTGGCGAAATACTTCCACTGAAAATTTTTGTGATATCAACAGACCAGAAGTTGCGACAAATGCAACAAGTATTTATTTTTAAATTCAAATGATGGTCCATCCGACCAAATGATTTCTTCATCGTAATAATTTGAATCAGGCAATTTCATAATATAACCGTAAACTTTGAAAAGAAATGCAAAAATAGTATCCTTGTTTTTCTTCAGAGTATCAGAGCAATTAATAAAACCTTGTTGTGTACCGTTTCCAAACAGCTGCTGTAAAAAGAGTAACGCTAGATCTACTCCTCTGACTAGTTGACTACCTACTTGCTGACTGGATTTCAGATTGGTATTCGCATGAAAATGACATTGTAAAATCTATTTGCAGGATTCTAAAGGTACATTTTGTTTTGTCTTTAGAAAATTCTTTAGCTTGGATTCTTTTCACTCGCACATGCTTTACAACCTTTTCAAAACCCTCCTGAATGACACCAATAAGTTCTCCAACAGTACCCTGCTGCTAAATCTTGCGCAGTCGTTTTTTTGATTCAGCAATTTTGCCACGTTTGACATACTCATTAATCCATTCGTACCAAATTGCTGTCTTCCACGTTCTTGTTAGATTTAATATTAAAGCCGTTTTTACATAAATTACACTCGTTTTTCCAACAGGACTTGGACATATCTAATGCACTAGAAGAACACAAAACATCATCCATTATGTCATCTTAATTTCTTTGTCCGCGTTTGCGGACAAAGAAATTAAGATGACATAATTGTTGTGTTTGACTCACCCAAAAGTTCTCTAGTTGACGTTACCGTAGATTTCATAGTTTCCTTTTTCTTAACTTTACATTCGCCACCCTTGCAGCTACTTTACGCCTACGTTCAGTTAACTGTTTCTTTGTCATTTAAGCAAATTTTGCAGCATGAACTTGTGCAATTCTTTTATTTTCACGAACTTGAAATTGTGGATCTTCCTTTTTCTTTTTCATTCTAAACTTTTTAATTCTTTCTGCAGAAGTTAAGGCCCGTAGTTTCACTGCTTCCATCAAAATTAAAAAAAACAAAACAAATTAACATGACAAAATAAGAAACTCAATGTGTTGAGACTTGTGCTTCCAATTGTTAGTTGAATGATTGTAAATCTGTGAAACTACGTCAGTTAAAATATTTGCAAATGCAACTAGAAAGTAAATAAATGCACGTATAATTAAGGAATGCCTTTATGAATACATTGCCTGCATGCTAGTTTAATTCAAAGACTAAGAAAATTTGCAAATCATGTGAAGTTGCGTTTATATGCACCAATTTAAGGAATCCTACAAATAGATTCATAGTATTTGTACATACTATTTATACATATTTATTCATAGATATCCATATTCATAGACATGTGGTAGTAATTATCGTTATGAGGGTTACCATAAAATTAAAATCAAAGCCACATGATATCAAGTATAAATGAAGCATCTAGTTAAACTTGTTTATAATATAAAGTCATGATATTAAAAACAATGTGCTTGTTGTACAGCATTAAAAAATATGCGTTTTCGTTACATGTGTTACCACTTATTGAATTACGTTAATATTTTTAAAGATGAAACAGCAGACCGCCGTCTTATTTTACTTAAATGCTATCACATGTGTGTTGGTAAATATTTCTTGAGAAAATAATCACTCAACATATCTAGCACTTTTATTAACACAAGTCGAAAAGATTAGTGTTCATTTAAGTAAAACTTATATTTTCCCATACTTGCAGGTCTTCTGTATTAAAAAAACATCAGGGAAATCATAATACGTTAGCACCTACATTTTATGAAAATTTAGCATGTTTTGTACAAAAAATAAAATACTATATTTTATTTTCTGTGCATTATAAAAAATGTGAATTTGGTTCACTTTTCGTGGAATCAATCAAATTCTAAATGTGTGTTTTTATGTATACAGATATGTTAAAAGGACGAAAGGAATAAAAGAAAGAAAAATCATTACAATGAAACACAACTTTTCTAAAAGAAGAGTATTTACTAAAGAACAAGAAAACCTTTTTAAGCAGTATATTGTCACCTGCTCTCCAATATATTATGGACACATGTTGTAAATTTAAAATCTATAAGCAATTATGTCTAATTGCTATAAGCAATTATGTCTAATAAAAATGTCTAATAATGCACCATTTGGATCTCTTGGTCTTGCAAATCCAACTGGACGGATGAATACAGAATTATTGTAGAAATAGTTCAACATTTTATATCAAAAACATTCCCGCCCAAGAAAAATCCATCTCTACTTATATTTGATAATCATAAGAGCCACTATCTAAAAAGGCTCTTGATCTCCTTAAATGTAACAATGTTACTATTCTTACCATACCACCACATAAGAGTCACAAAGTGCAGCTCTTAGATGTTTCAATATTTGCTCCATTTAAAGTTCATTATAATGACACAGTAACATCTTGGCTTCTACATCATCCTAGAGTGTCACTGTGAGTGTTCTAAATCATCGCTGGAGAATCACTATTTACGAAATTGCATCATGTTTTAAATCGCATATGAAAAAAGTTTTACTATCATAAGTATTCAAAGTGGATTTGTGAAAAGTAGAATATTTCTTTTTGACAAGAATGTATTTTTAGAAGAAGATTTTTTATGTAGTGTTGTTACTGATAGAAACAATCCAAATACATATCAATCAAACACTGGAAAAACTCTGAATACCAATAATTTGTTACTCTCACCAGAAAAGCTTCAAAGCCTTTTGTCAGTTCCAAGCCAAGTACAAGTCAACCATTGTTAAACATCCAGAGTGGCTTGGATGTTTAACAATGGGCTAATCTGTTTAACTGGCAGTAAGAGTATGGCCATTAGATTCAAGAGTCAAATTAGAGTAAGATTTGTTTGCAAACAACTCTGCTATATACCGGGGAAAGTAAAAAGATCAGACTCATGAATCAAATCTTAGAATGATATTAAATCTTAGTTAATGGCACTGTTGAAGACTTACCAAAAGTCTCTAGAACCTAACATCTGAGATAAGATACAAGATTTAATAAACTGTAAAAAATAGAACATAACATCAGACAGTACCTTTTAACATTGGCATCTTGGAATAATAAAAGGACATTTGTTCTTATATTTCTTATGTTTGTTATTTATGTTTCTTGTAAAAAAGAAAAAAAAAAAGAGTACTGTTTAATAAAGCAACTGCTCAAGATGGTGAAAAATGTGGAGTAGAATGAGGCTTGACTTAAAATTGAAGAGAAGAAATAAAAGCTTCCAAACCTTTATTCCAGAAAAAATGAAAGCTTCCAAGATACGCTTTATGCATACATATTATGGATATAAACATATATGTTTTAGCTATTTATTTAGATGCTGGCATACAATATCCTTCATATTTAGTATTATAAACTTTAGTATTTATATGGTGAGTTGCCAACAGAAAAGATGATCAGATGGATGTGTGGTGTGACTCTAAACAGACAAGAAAAGGACACATAATCTTAGCAGATTAGAAAAAAACATCATATCAAACAACGTTTGTTACAGAAGATTTAAGTGATTTAGGTATTATGTAGAGTGGTAGCTTAGGTATTATGTAGAGAAAATGGTAGAAGCAAGAAAACTTGAAGAGAGTGCCTTACATATTGCATGAATGAGCTTTAGTTAAAGAAAGAAAATGCTCTAGAATGTCCATACTATAGAAACAGCATAAAAGAGGAAGGGTAAAGCCTGATGATGATGATGATGATGATGATGATGATGATGATGATGATGATGATGATGATGATGATGATGATGATGATGATGACCATGTTTATCTACGGTAACGCCACGAAAATCGTTCGTTAAGGCAACCTTTTTCGGTTTTGTAACGAAAAAGTTCTGAAATGCAACTTACCGATTCGGTAAGTCATCACGCAATTTTTTTAAAATGTTTACATTCGGTATTGTCACCTCCGCGAAAAATAAACTTTAATCCTCCATTGCAGCTAGCGGAATTATGTTATGTTAAGGTGCTTTAAGCTTAATTTTACAAGATGAACCTTATATTTTTTTAAATATTTTATTATACATAGTTTACAAGTATTTAATGTGATCATAGTTGTCATATGATGTCAAGTAGATATATTTTCTAATAAATTAATTAGTACAATTTATGTTACAGTCAATTTTATATTTATATGTTGCATGAACTTTACAATTATATGTTGTATGAACTTCATTGCAACATAGCTTAATTTGGATAAACTTAATGAAACAAATAGGAATTTACTCGATAATAATTTAATTTAATAATTTGATTTAATCGATAACATAAATTAATAGTAATACAAATTGAACTAATTAACTTATTACAAAGTATATCTACTTGACATAAATATATTATACATATATATATATATATATATATATATATATATATATATATATATATATATATATATATATATATATATATATATATATATATATATATATATATATATATATATATATATATATATATATATATATATATATATATATATATATGCATATATATATGTATGTATATATATATATATATATATATATAATATATATATATAAATATATATATATGCATATATATATGTATGTATATATATATATATATATATATATATATGTGTATGTATATATATATGCATATATATATGTATGTATATATATATATATATATATATATATATATATATATTTATATATGCATATATATATATATATATTATAAAGTATATCTACTTGACATCAATATATTTTACATAATATATATATATATATATATATATATATATATATATATATATATATATATATATATATATATATATAATATTAATATTATTTATATATATATATATTTTTTAAATAAATTTGAAATATTCAAATTTATTTTTACATTAGAAATGGTTTTGTGCGCCCTGTGTAGCTGTGATGCATCTATTTCTGGTGCTTCTTGTGTACTGTGCAAAAAAGTGATTGATAGTAAATGTCATGGAGGCACTATAGGAGATGAAAATATTATCTGTAAAGCATGCGCAAGTATTAAAGCTATAAATATAGCTTTCATAATTGTATTATTATAAATAAAGTATAAAAACTATGATATTGTGTACTATTAATTGCAAAAAAAGAATTTTTTTTATAATTGTAAATAAAACTATTTTCTTTTAAAGATGTTCCTATCAATCCTAATGAAATTGATGATATGGTTGTGTCAGGTAAATATAACAGACTATTAGCTAAATTTAATTTTTGTATGTCTAATTTTAATAGTTTAAAATGAAATTTTATTTAAACTGTCAGTTACTTTAGTCTTTAGAAAGTTTAGTTCTGAAAGTTTAAAAGAAATTGCTTCATCGCAACTATTAAAATCAATTTTTTCTGGTCAAGTTAGTATTATTAATATCTTTATATAAATATTATTAATGAAAGTAGGTGGGGAAGGGTTAGACAATAAAGCTTATAAAATTACCACCTTATTCACATATAACTCATCTTTATGATATTTAGTTAGATTAATAATTAAAATTAGTAAAAAAAAATCATTTGTATGTAAAAAAATAAACATATTTTGTATAAGGAATGGTGTAATCTTCAAATAAAAATTTGTATCATTTGTATTTAAACATTTTTTTCAGTTATACAGCTACAGACATAATATTTATAAAGCTGGAGGTAGCGAAAAAAGTAAGTTAAATTTTTTAAATTTGTTTTTAAATTTTTTAGCCAGTTAAAAAGAAAGTATCAATCTAAATTTTATTTTTTTAAATATTTTTTTAAAATATTGCTGACATTTACTTTATTATTTATTTTTATTTTTTGTAGTTTTATTATTAACTATTATTCATATAATTTCATAAAAAAATTATATGACTATTTTAAGGGCACCTTCGTGATATGGATTTAAGATCACTTTTAACGGAAGATCAAAGCAATGTACTTTTTACGAGTTTGGTAACTTCGTTCAGAGAGCTAAAGTTAAGATACTGAACAACTTTTCTAAAAATACATTTTTTTTGATTTAATTGTGATTTAGTTGTGATCATAAATAGTTTTAATGATCAAAATACAAAATTACTAATTGATCATAATGCATTTTATCAGTTACATACATTTTATACCATAGCCTTTTGTTAGTTTTTTGATTTTTTCTCAACTATTATTTATTTTTTTCATATGTTTCAGAATCATTGTTTTAAAATTTATAACTGTATGAGGTTTTTTTTTTTTTTTAGAAAAATTTATTTATAAAAAATTTCTTTTTATTTTTAGAATGCAGATTATGTCTTTAGGGTGCTTGTCCCTGAGGCCATCATATATCTTTTTGCAAAGTTTATGCTAGTTTCTAGAATTCAAGTACTGAAAAAAATATATATATATATAATTTTGATAAATTATGTATTTTTTTTATTGTTGTTTGTGTATTATTTTTTATTTTCAGGCAGAAGTGACTTTAAATGCATATATTTCAAAGCGGTGTGTATAATTAATAAAAAAAAAAACAATATGTTTCTATTTGTAGTTAGTAGTGTATAAATAATATAATATAATAGTGCATATTAAAATACCTATATAGTTTTAAGATTTTTAAGAAACAGTCAAAATGTTTTAATGTTTTTAGAAATACAGAGGTTTTGCAAGATGAATCAAGTGATTCAGAATGCTCATTGGTTAATGTAAAGGATTTCACAGGTTTTTTTTATTATTTTAATTTTTTCTAAATTTTTTTTTTTTAATTTTGTTTCTGCGTTCAAAATTTAGTTAAAGGGAATCTTTGTTGAATATCAATATATTAGAAGTATTATATTTTTATTAATATAGAATTTAAATCTAAGTTTTGAAAGTTTTAACCCTAAATTTTTAGAAACTTGCATTGTTCTGTCTGAGAGTGAGGTACTTAATGATTAATTACTAGTAGTTTTTATTGCATCTTAAATTTTTTAAATATCATTAAACAACTATAATGAAATTTAGTTGTTTTATAAAGAAATTATACCAGTAAAATAACCAGTAAAAAAGACCTTTCTTTCAAAGAATGCAATGAAAATAATTTTGAGAGTATGATAACTGTATTTATGAAATCTGGAAAGGTTTTGGAAGCAGAGAAGGCATGTATTTACTCAAATATTTTCATTTATATGTAAATACATTGTAAAATCTTTTATATAATTTTACAATTTATATATATATATATATATATATATATATATATATATATATATATATATATATATATATATATATATATATATATATATATATATATATATATATATATATATATATATATATATATATATATATATATATATATATATATATATATATATATATATATATATATATATGTATATATATATATTAACTTAATATATATATATTTTATATATATATATATATATATATATATATATATATATATATATATATATATATATATATATATATATATATATATATATTAAGTTCTACACGAAAAAATTTGTTTTAACTTCCTTCAATATTTTACAATTTACCTCTTAAAAGATATACATCCGGTCTGTTACTAATAAAATTGAAAAACAAAATGTGGTGTTGTGTTGGGGCATCAGTTTTGTTTTTCTGCTGTCAGCTATGTTTGTCAAGGCTTGTGTTTCTGAGTTACAGTCTTTAGAGGGGGTTTTAACAACAATTAAAAAATTAATAAAAAGTTAGAGCTTTCTTGACTATAGTCAGGGCCTATTACAGGAAAAAAATTTGGGCGGCGGTTCCCCCATCAATTCGGTAAACTTTGACGAAAAATTGGCGTTTTTTTGCAAAAAAAACAAAAACAATATTTGCCATAAAAAAAGAGTTTTCCATATCTATTTTTTTAATATCATTTATTTTGTTTATTATCTTTTAATTATTATTTTGTCTTTGCTATAGATGTTCAAAAAATGGGTATCTTCAAAGAAACAAGTTAAGTTAAAAAAGCAAGAAGTTTATCCTCGCGAAAAAGTCAAGTGCCCAATATGTTACAAATGTGTTGTTGACTTCCCTAGACATTTACGATCATCGAAGCATAAAGTAAGTAAAGAAGATGCTCGTATAGCTAGAGGAGTTTATGGATTAAGAAAATCAGCTGTTGCAAGTTCAGAAGCTAAAAAAACTGTAAAATATGTTTGTCCAATGTGCAAAGCTGTTGTGAAGCGTATTCACGACCACTTATACAAGTCTCCACATTATCTTAAAAATGAACCTGAAAAGTATAGAGAAATGCTTCAAAAAAAAACTATTTTTGAAAAAGTAAATCATATTACAGTTCCTTTAAAGCACCAGCAAAATTACAATTTTCAGCAGTCATTTGATTCAAATGTTTCACTTGATCAATTCAATATTCAAAACCCGGAATCACCATCTATTAGTAATCGTACCAAATCTATTGATGATGAACCCACTTTTAAAGATTATCTTGAAATCTTTTGCCTTTATTTAAAAAGTCGATCCGGAGGTAATAAAGATTTAAAATCTGCATCCAATAAGATGGGTCAAGTCAGGAGAATAATGGAGGTTTTGTCTTCAGATGATCCATGCTATGATAAATTTTTTGACCTCGAGCGATTACAAACACTTTGGTTTCCTCATGCGCAAAGAATGATGTATGAACCTGGAACAAAAAGGTCATACTTGTTATCCTTAAGCCACTTCATAGATTTCTTAATTCGTTCAAAATTAACTCCAAATGTTCCTTATGTTGTACCAGTCACTAAAGTAGAGGCTGATGTTATGCTTGTTTGTCAGAACGAAATTTCTAAATGGAGACAATCTTTGAGAGCTGAGGAGGAGGAGAGGCAGTTTGATGTTTTAATTCAAGACGGTGAAAAAATGATCCCAAAAGAATACTTTAAGGCTATTCTTGATAGCAACTTCAATGTCACAGTTATAAAAAAAATTAAAGAGATACACTGTCAATACTCTTTAAAACCAAACGAATTTATTTTAACACGCAGTTTATACACAAATACCAGAGACTGCATTTTCTTTAAAATGGTATGTGATAATATCTCTCGGTCGGGAGCTATCGCAAATCTGACATTAGAAGAGTATTTAAAAGGAACTTTTACTCCAACAGGTTTGTATGTTGTGTTGGTGAGAAAACACAAGACCTTTAAAAAATATGGACCCTGCCAAATTGTTATTAATTCAGAACTTAAATTTTTGTGTGACTGCTTTTATAAAATTATAAGAAATGATGTTCCAGGACATAAATCAGAAAATATGTTTGTTACATGGTCAGGATGTAGTTTGGAATCAGGTGGTGTATCAACCCAGTTAAGTTCATATTTTTCAAAATGTTTACCAGACAGTGTTAGCCTTGGAAATGTTAGTGCTACTTTAATAAGAAAAAGTTTATTAACGTTTTTTTATGATAATTACCCTGATATGAAAAAAGACCTTGCTACTTTAATGAAGCACAAACAAAGTACTGGAGAGAAATGGTATTATTTAAACCAAACTAAAAAAGAAGTTTCTGGCACTTCTGAAAAGATTTCAAATGTAATTTTTGGCTCCCAACCAGACATTTATACCATTGAAAATGCAATGCCCAACAATTCTTTAATTGGAAGTCCCATATCAAATGTTACAGATAACAATCTATTTAGTGAGAATGAGGAAGATGATAATGAAAGCGATTGGGATGGTGTTACAGGTTCGTTGATGACAAGTAAAAAAATATCTTGGACTACGCTTGAAGTGGATGAATTAAAAAAAAATTTCAAAATCGATTCTACAAGTTCATTTAGCCAATCTAACATACGAATGATGATTTCAGGAAATGATATTTTAAAAAACCGCAATGCCAAACAAGTTTACGACAAATTAAGCCATCTTCAAAGAAATGCATTAAAAGGAGATTTACAAGAACTTAATAAAAAAGAGTGCATGACAAAAAAAGTTGTTTTTCCAACAAAGTATACTAACTTAATCAGGGTTATTTTTTCAAAGGAAATAGCTGGTAAACTTTTAACAACTGAAAAAGATGTTTATAATAAAATTAACCAAACCGAAAAAGCAAAAGAGATGCTTAATGAATTTTTAATAAAACAAATTCTAACAAAAATACGATACGAAAAGGCAAAGTTAAGAATGAAAAAAAAGTAATTCTTTGTATATTTTAACGTTTATAATATTTTAACGTTTATAACATTTTAAAGTTTATTACATTCAAAGTTTTGTTAGAATTTCTTACTTTTAAAAGGTCCATGACTCTTATCTTAATTTTATTTATAACTCGAGAAAGATTTTATTATAACTTTAAAAAGTGCGAGATACCATAAAGAAATTACTTCTAAACTGCTCTCTTTACAATTTTATTTAAGTAAGATCAAAGGAAATGCTTCTAATTTTACGTTAGTGGATTTTTTCGTTAAAATAGCGCCGTATAAATATTAGCGTATGAGTTATAATGCTTTATTTGAATTAATTGTAAATATAGATTTAAGTATTAAAAAAAAAATTACACTGTAACGAGTCTCTCTTACAGGCTGATCAGCTTCTATTTGAAGCTGATTTCTAAAAATCAATCGGCGGCAAAACCTTGTTTAAATATAGGAGAGAGTTACCTTAATTGGAACACTTTAGGAATAAATATCTATTAACCAAAGATGGCCTAACTATGAAAACATTTATGATTTGATTAATACTAACAGACAACCCTACTACACTTTTAACCATAATTTGACTTAATTGATTGTACTAACAAAAAATTGTGTTAAAGCTTCAACTGCCTTGACGTTCTCTTAATTTATTGATTAAAAATCACTAAATAAAGTATTATTTTTTAGGTATATAATTGTTATTAAGTATTTTTAAATTTTTTTGAACCCTTTAATTTTATTATTAAGTAATGAAAAAGTTATAGTTCCAATCAAGGAAACTGTGGACTATTTTGTAATATCACTGCAATACAATCACAGCATATACAAATGTGTGTGGGAAATCGTTTAATAGAGCGAAGAAAAAACAAAAGTTTAAACGATAATGAAAAAGTATACCAAATGAAAAAAAGGTATAAGAGCTGTTCTAAATCATTGTACTAACTTTTTTACACAAAATGCAGCGTCATGTACTATGTCCTAGAGGATTAAATAGTTAGTGTAGGTGGAAGAATAGTGAAGAAGGAATTGATAAATACAAGCCTAAAGTAAATATTCTTCTATAGATTTATGATGTTATAAAGAAAGATTTTGATGACCTATCTGATAATTCTCTTCTTAAAAAATGCATTCATGGAGGGATACAAAATTGTAATGAAGGACTTAATAACATAAAATGGTCTCAATGTCCAAAAATTGTTACAAGATTTTTGCTTGAAGTGGTAGTTAATCTGAAATAAAAAAAGCTTATTTACCTAGTGGATTTTAAATTTTTTATGCTTTTGTATTTTATTTATCTTATTTCTCAGACCCAATATTAAGATATCAACGTGATATGTTGATATTGGGTCAAGCAGTTTACTTCAAATTTTCAGGAGTTATTCAAAATACCTAAATGAAGGGAATGAATGTAAAAATTTTTAAAAAATGCATTGATTTTTGCCTTTTTAGTGTTTTGACCTAGCTCTACCACCTGAAAATATTGCAAAGAGCAAAAAATCTTAAATAAAAAGGCTAAATGTTGTTTGTTTCCAGAGATTTTAATTCATTACCTTTATTTCATGGGTTGACAGACAATTGCTAAGTTTCAAAACTTAAACATTGTTATAACTTAAAAAATCGTGTTGCAAGTGTAGGTATTAAATACATTATTTTCACGTAATTTCGACAATTTTCTGCTTTTATATGAAAGATCTACATATTTAGCGATATTTACGTTGTAAGAAATATATTTAATTATTTGAAACAAATGGAGGTTTTTAAAGTTTTGTTACAGTTCTGAAATTTTTTTTTTTGAGGTTATTCTGTAATCCGAAAATCTCTGCCAAAGGATGAATCCAGTAATGTTCCACAGATTTAAGTGGAATTTTTGTGGTAAGCACGGAGGCAAAAAAAAGTACATTGTTTCCACAATACTCGCATATTAAATAATTCCTAATATAATTTGCAATAAAATGAGATTTAATTTTCTACCATATCTGCGTATTAAATGGCATTTTGGTAATGTGGTTATCAATTCTAAGCAATCGCAGAGTATTTACTGAGGAATGAATAAACAAACAACAAAAAAAGAAAACTGATTAAAAAGATTTGTTGTATTATGCCAAAGTGCTCAAACTACATAGTAGCGGTCCAGCATAACGCAAACAGCAATCATACACCCTATAAAGAGAGAGAGATCAAAAAAACAAAAGGATAAGTAGTTACATTTAACATTAGACTATATTGTTTTGTTCTAAAGAACTTATCAGTAATAAACTGATTTTATGGGACCAAATCGTAGCACTAAAACAAGGAAACTGATTTAAAGCAGTTAAAAATATTTTTGTATTATGCCAAAGTGCTCCAACTAAACAGTAGTGGGCCAGAGTAACGCAAAAAACATTGACAATGTGCCCAGCGGAAAAGGGGGGCATCTAGGTTAAGGGGGTATATATGATAAATTAATATATGAAAACAATATAGCCACATCAAACTAATTTATAAGTAGTGTCTTCTAGAATTAAAATAGCATAACTAGTTTTGGTTTTGAGATTTAACTAATTTAACCTCACAATAAATAGATTTTCAAAAATTTGTTCGGTAACGTAACCTTTTTATTCGGTAACTTCACATTCAAAGCTTTCATCGTCATTAAGTATATGAAAAAATTATTTAACTATAAAAACTAAACCATTTTCTGAGATTTCATATAAAATTAAATAAATCCCTACTAAAACAATCTCAACAATTAAAAAAAAAAAACGATCTCATTATTAGAAGCAAAAAATGCATTTTTTCAAGATTTCAAGTAAATATTTCTTCATTATCTTTGTTAACCAGTTTAATTTAAAAGTTTTTTATGATAATAGAAATACCCAAACTTGAGAATAGGGATTTTTAAAATTTATTGGGTGATGGAACCCTGAATTGGGTATCTAACATCTCCGAAAAAAAAAATTGGCTTCCCGCCACCCATTTTATGAAAAAATGACTAAATCGGAATTGCAACCGGAAGTTTATGAAAACACCCCTGCAAAACAAAAACATAGTTTAAAAAGTTTGAAATTGTTTAATTCTAAAAGTTTATGGGTAGAATAAATAAAAAAAAGTCATATTAGATAAAAAAAATTATTTACGCACCGTGACTATACGAAAATGAAAGTGAAAAATTATTGTTGCAAAACCGAATTTAGATCCACATGGTGATGATGATGATGATGATGATGATGATGATGATGATGATGATGATGATGATGATGATGATGATGATGATGATGATGATGATGATGATGATGATGATGATGATGAAAATGATAATCAGAGGTGTTAGACCTTGGTCTTGCCTTAAGGCCAAAAATTTAGGCCTTGGTCTTGGACTTGAAACTGTTGACCTTGGCCTTGGTCTTGAAAATTTTGGCCTTGACCTTGGTTGTTTTGGCCTTGGCTTTCAAAAAAAATACATATTTTCTTATTGATTTCCTTGAATTCTGCGCATAACCTTGGTCTATTTTTATAAAATGTGGTTTTATTGTCACAGCACTTGCTACTTACAGTTTTGTTAATAATTGGCCTTAATGTTAGGCAAAAATTGAAATCTTTGGTCTTGAAAATGTTTATGTAGGCCTTGGCCTTGAAACTCTTAATCTTGCCCTTAACCTTAAAACTCTTGTCCTTGGTCTTGCAATTTTTGGCCTTGTAACACGTTACAACATGATCATCATGATGTTTATATATATGCATATATAAACATCATGATGATCATGTTGATCATAATGATATTTATATATGCATATATATACAAAATACAAAATGAATTTTGAATAAGAAAAATATACTTTACAAGGCCGAGAAGGCCACTACAGACGAGGAGGCTACTTAATAGTGGTTATAACCCTCTCTCAACTCTATAACTCCGAAACACAAACCTTGACGAACAAGGCCGTTGCGCGGAGAAACAAGTTGAGCGCGGTACTACCAGGGACGTGGTGGGAATTGAATTCGGAACTTCTTGCTTATGAAGCGAGTGTTTTACCACTACACCACTACCGCATTTAGTAAGAATTATAAATTTTGTTAACATTATAATAAGAACGTGGGTATTTGCAGAAGATCATAAGATCTTGTCATTTAAAGACTTTTAATCTGCCCCAGAAGTTACTGGAAATAAAGAAGAGTGTTGGTCTTTGAGAATGACTTTAATAATGTAGTTAGAAAGAAACGATTTGATAATTTCAAAAATTTTCCCAGATACACCATATAAAACAAACTCATAGAGAAGCCCAGTGTCCCAAACTTTGTCAAAAGCCTTAGATAAGTCAAGAGAAATAGCCGTAGCCTCTCCACCTCCATCTAATGCACAATAAAATCTTTCAGTCACAGCAAGTCAGCCATAGAGCAAGAGGATTGAAAACCATATTGATCCTCTGACAGTAAGTTATTTGACTTGAAATGGGATATTAAAAATTTGTTGATCAAAGACTTAAAGACCTTGCTATTAACAGATAGAAGACTAATCGGATAATAGTTAGAGAGGTCAAAATGTTCTCCAGAGCTTTTGAAAATTGGAACAACATATGCCATTTTACAGCAGGCAGGAAAACAAGTCTCAGTCAAGCACATTTTAAATAGTTTAGAAAAAATTGAAGAGAGCTCTGGAGAACAATTTTTTAAGACTATGACAGGAATGTTGTCTAGGCAACAACCCGTAGAAGAGTTTAATCAAGATATGACTTTAACAACAGAAACTAGAGTGATATGAATATTTAAAAATGGGTTAACCTATTTAATTCGAGAGTCAAATTAGTAGAAAAGTCTTTTGCAAATATTTAAGCTTTATCCTTGGGAGAGGTAATAAGATCAGTCCCATTAATGAGGAATGGAATACTTGTTAATGCTTTTGAAGATTTTCCAAAAGTCTCTAGAGCCTAACTTCTGAGATAAGATACAAGATTTAGTGAAATGATGGAGCTTAGTATCTGACAACACATTTTTACATTGATTTCTTGCAATAATAGCCATTTGTTTTGAAGACGAAAAAAATAATTATGATTAGATATAGCAGCTGCGCAAGAGGGTGAAAATCATAAACATTACTTTTAATGTTATACTTCTCTATACTTGTAATACTTACAATGAAGCAGTAGACTAATGGTAAAATGCTTGGTTCACAATCCAAAAGTTAAGGTTTAAATTCACTCTATGCCTTGGAAGTATCACAGGTCAGCATGTTTCTCTGCATAGCAGCCTTGTTGAAAGTGTGTACTTCTTAACCCTAAACTCCTAATTAATGGTTTGTGTTTTTTTACCCTCTAAACTCCTTAGTATTTACTAAGGTTTAGAAGGTTTAGAAGGTTGAGAGAGTGTTGCAATTAAATTATTAAAAAAAATTATAAAATTATAAAGACTTTCTCGATCATAGTGGCCCTCTCTAAAGCCTTAGGGAGGTGAATTAAAATTAAAATAAATAAAAAAGTTGTTTTTTTTATATAAAAAAGATAATATTTATTTTAGTAAAAATATATAGAGATTAAAAAACCCATTCTAACCTTTAAAGATTTTTTCTTCTTCTTCTTCTTTTTTTTTTCATCCCCACATGTAAAAATAACACTTGAATGTGTCATAGGTTGTAACTCATCAGGGGAAAGCTCATCTTTTGATAATGAAAGTATATCTACTTCATTTTCAGTACTTCCTTCAGTTAAATTCAAAACATCATCAATATGTTTCTCATAGGTCAATACAGGCATATCTGTAGGGATATCAGAAGGCAGAAAATGCGTAACTTCTGTTACATTAGTTATCTGCTTTAAAGGAGACTCAGTTAAACGTGTTCCTAAATAAGGAAGTAATGTATCACTTGATGAAACAAAAGTTTTTTGTGGAGAAATTATAGGAGAAACAACAAGATCAGCTACTACTGGTTCAACTTGTTTTTCACTATGAGAAGTACATTTCGGCAACACATCTTCTTGAAACATTTTTTTTAACGGTGTAACTGGACTTATAACTTCATCTTCAGCTTTTGATGGGGTTGTTGGAGAAACAAGTTCTTGTTGTGGTGTTAAAATCATTTTTCTCGACTGATTATCTGTCATTTTATAAGGTTCAGTATCTTTTTTTACATGTTTTATAGTAACTTCATTAGAAACATTTTTTTTTTCCTTAACTTCAGATTTCTTAACAACTTTATTTTTACTGAGATTTTTATTAAATTTTTTATTTATTGATTTAGGAAGGTTTGATGGTATGGGTTTGGAAAAGCTTGAAGGTAATAATTTTGGTATGCTTGAAGGTGACTTTGGAACACTTGAAAGAGATTTTGTTAAGTTTGAAGGAGACATTGAAAGACTTGATGGAGACTTGGGTGAATTTGTAGCAACAGAACTGAAAATACATGAAGGAGAATTTGGCAGACTTGAAGGAAATGATTTAAGAAGACTTGAGGGAGATGACTTTATAACACTTGAAGGTGATGACTTTTGAAGGGTTGAAAGAGTCAATTTAGGAGGCTTTCCTTCTTTTTTAACTGCAGATTTATCTCTTGCAGGTAACTGGTCATTTATGCTAGATAGAGATACAACAGGATTAAAATTAGTCTTATCAAGATCAATCTTTGCAGCTACAGTTAAATACTTTGTATTTGTGTTCATTGATGACTTTGAAGCCACCGAATTGTTGGCAGTGATTTTAGGCAGTATTTGGGAAGGCAGAGGAGGTTTTTCCTCCTTTATGAAAATTTCTTGCGCTTCATCATTATCTGTAAAACCATCGATTGTTGTAGGTGATTTAAGATTTGGCGTAAAACCTTTTGGAGTTGTTACTATTAAACCTGGCCTTGTAAAATCATTTTTTTCAGTGTTATGAATTATTTTTTCTGATGGTGATGTCGCTGGAGATGTACTGGAACAAATTATGTTGGGTAAAAATAAATCTTCAGGGCGAGGTTGCAACTCAATTTCTTCAACTTTGATAGACACATCTAAAGGATAAGTATTTAGATTATTTAGATTAACATTAAAAAAAAATTCTTTAAATAAAAATTTCTTTTATTAAGAGAGATTTTAGATTTTTCTAAAATCTCTCTAAATAAAAATTTCTTTTAACAAAATCTGTTTTTTTTTTTATTATTCGCCAGAGCGCAGCATTTAAGTGATATATCACAGTAAAGTGATATACTCTATGATCTAATGTCTACATAAGCATTTACTTTACAAACTTTAAAACTCATTCTCTAGTATGTATTATTTGTATTCATATATTGGGAATTAATATCTATTTACATATTTATTATTATTATAAAAAAATATTTTAAGAGTTTAATATTATATATTGTTTTTAGTTTATTTTGTTTTTTTACAACTATTTTTTTTTTGAAAAATATAAACTTCTATCAAAAATTATAGATTCAAAACACCTGAATTAACTTGTAGACTTTCAAGAAGGTATTCAAAGTTTGGTTATAAACTTATAATTGAACATCTTGATGAAAAAAATTTCAACAAAATGAGTATCAAAAGCAACATGTGTAATAAAACATGGGGTAAGCTGTGGCATAAGCTAAGGTGTATAAACTGTGACGTAAGCTAAGGTGTAAACTGTGAATTTATTACTGTAGATTGTTATTAAATGAAAAAAAAATATGATTTTATGCTTACAACTGATTGGTTTATAGGAATTATTAATAATTGGCTAACAATAATGACATCACGAAAACCCTGCTATGGCTCTTAGTATAAAAATCACAAAGTTTACAAAAAAAAAATAACTTTTTAAAACGAAATCATAGAGATATTTTGTTGATTATATGTTGTAAGCTAGCGTGGAAAAACAAGGCAAACCCTATTCTATCTGATATTTATCAGCAATATCAGTTATTAACTTGCAAATTGAGTTTCTTCTAGAAATTAAATTTGATTTTTTTATGGCATAGTGATTTACCCAGGAATGCCAAGAGAACCTTTTTTTACTGGTTTATTGCAGTAGTGGTGTAGTGATAGAGCACTTGCTTCCTAAGCAAGAGGGTCTAAGTTTGATCCCCACCATGTCCCTGGTAGTACTGGGCTCAACTTGTTTTTCTGCGCAGCAGTCTTGTTCATCAAGGTTTATGTTTCAAAGTTATAGAGTTGAGAGAGGGTTGTAACCACAATTTTAGTAGCTTCCTCAAATGAATTAACATTAAAAATAATAATAAAAACTTGCAAAACAAGTAATCCCTACAGCACTTTAATTCAAAAATCACTCAAAACTTATTTGCATTGCCTAATTTTGAAAATAATTACCTTGAAAAAAGTGCAGTTATGATATAGATGACAGGTCAACATAGTTGGACCTGCTCTACCTGCTAAGCTTGAGCGTCTTTCCCATTGTCATAAAGTTGCATCTCTTTCTCTTTTCTACAAATACTGGTAACTGCTCAAAGCTTCAGCAAAGTCTCATTCACCAAACTCTCATTCTTTTACTGTATCTGTCCCTGCATGCTCTAAAAACTTTTATTTGTCTAGTTTTTTTCCTAAACTCTTTGGAACTCTCTCCCATCTTCATTTTTCCCTGACTCATACAATCTTGAACTTTTTAAGTCTTCTGTCAACCGTTTCCTTCCTCTATAACTTTATTTTTTTTTTAGTAATTCCCAACTTCACGATTGGTTGCTTGCAGCTTTGTTGGGAGTAAACTAGAATAATAATAAAAAAAAAAGTTCTTTCTTATTATGTTAAATATCATGAAGATAGACTGAAAAGGTTTAACGTGGCTACTTTAAAAACAAGAAAAGCATAGAGTGATATGATACAATATTATAAAATAAGTAAAAATATAGATAAAGTTCAATGGAATCATCGATTAAATATGCAATAGCAAGAAGTCATACACAGAAAATACTAAAACAATTCACATTCTACCATAAGGTTCAACTTCTTCAAAAACAGAATAGTTAACAAATGGAATAATTTAACAGAAGAAATAATCAATTCTAACAATGTGAATATCTTCAAGAACAAGTAGTTTTAGTAATCAACTTTAAACATTCTTGTTTTGGTTTGCAATCAAGATGATAGATCCAAGTCTTAATATGACTTGGACCTATTACTGTCTTATCCATAGTTATAAAACTATGGATAAGACTTGGATCTATCATCTGAGAAATTTGTTTTTGATTCAGTTTTTGTTGAATTATTAACAAATACAACAAAAATATTTTAAACAGCCTTTTCATATGCAATTTTTTGTATAAAATTCGGAGTATTTGAGATGTCATTTGGTATCAGCATATAATTAATGTAGATAAGTAGGGCTTCTCGTCAGGATTGCCATTTGAGATGCCTTTGGTATCAGCAATTCACACTTAAACAAACTTGGATTTTTACAAATAAAATCATAGAACAATGAGTTTTGGTGCTGTTGCACTTTTTAGATGTCTACTATGTGGTCCATCTTCAACACTCCTATGACTACTTTTAAACTTTAAAACCCTATAGTGTGTAGTTTGAAATGGATTTTTTTAGCACTTTCACCATTTTTTCATGAACTTCTGTTACTGATAAACCTTCCAAAATAATGAATTTTATCACTGCACAATATATTGAGTTTTTTGTAACACAATACACTGAGACGTCGAATGTACAAGTAGTATTAAAACCTTGGTCATGCAATATAATAACATTAATTCCATTTTCACTAGAAATATTGTTGAAGTGCAATTGCAAAGAAGGTTGTCTTGACTGTGCTTTAAAAATTACAACATTATTCTAACTAAAACTAAATAGTTTTAAAGTCATTAATTTTATTTTTTAAGACCAAAATAATTATGTTATAATAAAGTTGAAATAAATACAGTAATTTTAATGGGTAGAAAAATGATTATTTGAAACAAAAAAGATTTTCATGTTTTAAAAGGTTATGAGAAACAAAACAGATTTTCATGTTTGAATAATAAATATCCAGTAAAAAAATGACATGCGCAATGCTTACAAATGATGCTTAAAAATCAACTAAAAAAACTATTGAAAATTATTAGGATCAACTTTTGAAATTACTTGATATTAAAAGAAACGTATGCTTAATTATTTCGTACGCAAAGATTGTGAATTCTTCAAAGGAAAACCTTTAAAGTTATTTAATAACATAATAATGTTATTATTAAATAACTTATATTATGCAGGAAAATGCAGAAAAGTCTGATACAACTAAAGTCACAAGTTTTTTCAACTTTACACAACACAAACTAACCAACAGTTCACTTTATTGTAACAGTTGCACCTTAAAAACTTTTAAAAAATAAAAAGATTTTTCTTCATTTATTGGGTGATGTAGTCATAAACTTATTGAAGATCGTGTAGAACAATGACTTTTTACATTACCTTTTGTTTATTCGCAGTACTGATGAATAACTATTTATTCGCAGTACTGACATTTGATGATATCAAGATGATTTTCAAATAATGTTTTTATAACATAGTTTGAGAAAAAAAACTAATTTTTTGTTTTAGAAAGCATTTTATCAAAAATATCTGCTTTTAAACCTTAGAGCCACCTCATTTTACTGCATAAAAGTTATATTAGCAAACCTGAAATCATCATATTGATGATATAAAGATGATGATGATTATGATGATGATGATTATGATGATGATAATGATGATCATCATAATCATCATAATAATGATGATGATTATGATGATGATAATGATGATCATGATCATATGGATGTGCGGTTATGCATCTAAATGCTCTGTATCGCAACACGTTTGTTCGGTAAAGCACCTCTTGTTTGTTATTGCAACTAAAACGGAAAAAATACCGTTTACAAAACGGAAAAATATATTTAAGTTACAAAACTAAAAACGTTTTCAGTTTTGTAACTTAAATATATTTAAGTTACAAAACTGAAAGCGTTTGTAGTTTTATAACTTAAATATATTTTTTTAAATTAAGTGTTATGTCATCATCCTGCGCAAAAAAAACTTTCGTTTGAAGTTGGTTAGGCAGAGAAAAACTTGTTTAGTGAGTGAAGTAAAATATATTGGTATTAAAACAAAATTGTACTTTTAGGAAGTAAATTTATGGAAATCTAATATATATCAGTAGCCTAAAGGGCGCGAAAAATCAACGAACGTGCGAACGCCTGCACAAAAAAAGACAGAAAAACGGACGTCACGTTCCTCTACTTTTCCTAATGCAAATGTTGACATTCGCCTAAAATTTTTCAAAATGAACGCGTTACTATAGCAATTTTTTTTTCCAAACAATTAACTATAGATCGTTTTTTATTTATTATAAAAAACAAAAAAAAATTAATTAAGAAAATTTTAAACGCATTTTCAAAGACTTTAAAAGAAACCACGCTAAAGCTACTTTCTTCAATGGAACAAAGAAAGTAATTAGTTTGAGCATGGTTTTTGGATGCGTTTAAAAAAACATTCAAAATTTTATTTAAAATAACTGCATTTGCAATTACTTTAAAAAAAACCATGCTTAAACAACGATTGCTTTTTTTAATACCATGTTTTTTTTTTTTTTCCTCTTATTTTCCATAAAGTGAAGTAATGTTAGTTTGCATTTTAAAACTTATAAAAGTTTTGAAAATAATGTTAAGTTTTGCTAAAAAATACATAATCTAGTAGAATATATAAAGTTATTATGTTTGTTAAAATTTTAATTTTTTTTTGTGCGTTTTAACAACACCAATAATATGATATTTTTATTAACTTATTATTAAATACTTAATATACTATTATTTTTGAAGTTTTTAAAAAATGTCAAAACAACTAAGCATCTTTTCGATGTTAAAGAGAGATGGTACAGACAGGGCCAGCCCGAGTAGGTGTCACGTGGGGGGGGGGGGTGCCATTACAACTTTTGCCATATATAAAAAAAAAAAAGGTCCTCGTTTTCGAAAATTTGCCGACTACTATGACGACATTTACTGACTAACTATGTAAATTACCGACTAGCCTATATTGAAAGGGTCGACATTTGCCAACT